TGTGTGTGTGTGTGTGTTTGTACCGGCACTCTGGGGTCTGTGCTGACAGAGTTCAGTCTCCTGAAGGAGGCTTGTCTGGAGAGGCTGTTAATTTCCTCCCTGGGAATAAAGACAGCACATTTGGAGGATTTACTGAAGAATAGTGTCTGAAAATTTAATTTCAGAAAATAGTTCACAGTCTGTAAACGGTTTAAATAGCAGTTTACAACATTCATATTTGAGCTGTCATCACAGTTGGGGCAATAAATAAAAGTATTTTTCAAGAAAATGTGGGTCGACTTACGTTTTTTCGCTGAGCTTCATCGCAAGCTTTTTGTTTTTGTGTCGATGATAGCGGTTGACTAGCAGGACGACGATGACCAGCACCATGATCAAAGCTCCAGCTGAAGCCCCAATAATGATCAGCAACTGGCTGTCAATGGGGGAATTGCCCATACGTGGAGAATGCCCTGGAAGAAAGATAAGGAAGCCATCTGATGAATCTCCCTCACACCAACACATTTACTCGGCAACAAAGCTACACTTTTATATTTCATCCAAACAAGCAATTCTGATCTTGATTGAGCTCAACAGCATCTGTTTTATGCTTTGGTCCACCACAAGGGGGAAGCAAATTTGCACAATTACTCCAAATCAAAAGGAGAATTTACTCATTTTGTCCCATGATGAGTGTCTGTCCTCTCACTTCCTCCTTCTAAAACACCAACAAACCATACAGTAGCAGCTTCTTATTTTAATCCTTAACCACTAACAAAGATGAAATGCCTTGCTCTTACCTGTTACTGTCAACATATACTCTGTTTTTCCCACTCCCACGTTGTTCTTGACCACACACTCGTAGACCCCACTGTCATTGCTGCGTAGGGCCCGCTGGAAAACAAGTTTTCCTCCAATCACAGACATCCCATCTGGCAAAGCTCCTCCTCTCCTGTGAATAATGAGACGAAAATCTCACTATTAATTGACAATGATACATTGCGGAGGTAAACCCATTGATAAACCATACAGAAACCTATGACTCACTGCATGAAACAATAGCTGTGACTCATTTTCAACAAAATGTACAAATACCACATTCCAGTTCAAACTTTTTCTATTCAAGTGTCAGCAGGAAACACACAAATATCTAAGGACATCTCATCTAAAACAATAGCAAGAAATGCAAGAACTGGTTTGCATTACGGAAGCTGTACAAACACTTCACAGGATCGGGTTCACCACAGAGTGTAACCACCAATTTGCATGCACCTGAACCAAAACCTGCAGGGCTTTCAACTGGCGCCTATTGATCTTAATAGACCCAATAAATACTAGGTTGGAGGGATTTAAGCAAGTCCAGCTACTGCTTCCCTCACTGTGCAGCCGAAGCCATCACAGGCCACATAATGGAGAGCCGGTTTCTGATCAGGTCCACAGAGAGGGGTCATGTTGCCCCCAGTTTCACTGTGCTGCAGCAGCTATTTAAACTGCTCTCCCCCCACCCCAAGCTCCGATTTCTTTTCTCAAAACCCCACCTAGCTTCCCTACCAGCCCTTTAGAATAGATTCACAGGTGGAGATTGTGATCTGACACAGAGTAGATGGTTGAACATGATACAGATAAGGTGAGTAATCCACCTTTAGCAGCCAAAAAGATTCTAGTCAATGCAATGAGAATCAGGTAGGCACATTTTATTACCTGTGGACAGAGTAAGGCTAGCTGGTGCCCCCTGTTTTCAGGCTTTATGCTAAGCTAAGCTAAAAGGCTGCTGGCTGTAGCTTCATATTTGCATGAGAGTGGTATTGATCTTCCTATCTAACTCCTGGTACAAAAAGGAAATCAGGGCATTTTCCAAAATGTTTAAGTATTTCTTCAAACTAAAATGTCAAACAAGCCTCTCTGGATTCAAACCACGCTTTTCTACACTGGCATGAGTTTGTACTGATGAACGCGCCAAAGGGTCTGTAGGGTTGAAAAGGTTTAATCCAGAATAATCTTAATATTTCAAGGTTGTCTCATGACTGAAGTATTCTTCACTCAGCACACAACATTCGATCATTGTGTGTTCAGTCGTAGCTGTAATGGCTGGTACAGTGTCTCTAATTAAAGTACAGACCCTGTGTTTTACCAGGCATTAGAGTGATATTTAAAGCATGGCTCTATGATTAAGTGCTTAGCATGTGTCTCCTGCTCTTCCTTGTGTCGCTTACTCCCTCCCTCGTGTGAAAATATCTCCCTCACTCTTCTTCTAACTTCGAATTGCGCAACACGACACCATAGCTTTTATTCGGCGATGAATTGAGGCAGGAGAGAAAGCCGCCCTCCTTTAGATTGAAGCACACTTCTTTGTTGTTCACGGCTGTGTAATCTGTGTATATGCGTGTTGGCAGCGGCTTATGTATGTTTTGAGACACATTCCAGTGCCATGTAAAGAGCAGTTTAGCAGTGCAGATAGCATTACAGTGGGGGTGAATTAACATGTAATTGTCAGATTCTTGCTGGCAGACAGACAGAGGAAAACTGAAGATATTTATGAGCAGCAGACAGGCTGATGACGGTACCATGTCCAGGTGACGTTCTGAGGTTTGGGGTATCCTCCGCTGCTGCAGACCAGCTCAACTTTCTCCGAACCCTCAAACAAGTCTCCGGTAGGAGTGGAGATGGTGGGATCTGGGGGGTCTGACACAAAAACATAGACATAAGCATACAGTGACACAAAATATTCCCCCATATACTGCATTGTAGAGTAAAGATTAAAGACATGTCAGCAGATATTTGTTAAAACACACCATGTAAGACTGAATGTGTCTTTATGTATCCAAGTTGCCTCATAATCATCAAAATGTTATTCTCATACTCATAAAATCTGCAAAGGTGGAACGACATCATTGTTTTACAAGTCACAAATAAGTCTCAAGAATTAGCTATGAAGTCCCGAGTCAGGTCAAATAACTAAACTTTGTGTTTCGATTCCTAAACAAGTCGTCATGCATCACATTTAAAACCACTTTAACAGTAACAGTCAGCATATAACATTTAAAGAAATAATGAGTGCTTTTTATAAATATGTATTATTTACTTCAAAATAAACCCTGAACATTTAAAGGCTGGTCAGAGGTGTTCTGGTATAGTAACTCATTACAGTCACTTAATTATAATTATATGTAATTGCTGAATGTTTTGCATGTTGCTGACGACAGAAGAGTCTTTACGTCTGAATAGTGATGTTATCTGATGGCATCAGATTCATGATTTCAATCGGACCTAAGTCAACTCCTCCGGACATCATTAATCTGTCTATTACACTGGACAAAGAGCAATTGTTGAGCACTGAAAGAACTGAAGTTTAGGTGCCTTTTCCATCCCCTGCATGAACACTGATAGTGGAGGACATAGCATTACTCATACACTTCGCCAACAAGGGATCCAACCTGCCAATATTGTCTAATGTTTAATCTACTGTCACCCATTTATTTTCACAGCAGGAAGGTTAAGCTATACAAATATCTCTTGCAGGGCAACTAGAGGGTAAAAAAAAGCAATTGGTTAAATCCGTCATTAGTGGGAGGAGCTAAAAGATTGTCCCATAGCGCTGTGGCGAAGGATGATCTGAGCATGCAGTATGTTGTCGTGTCCTCATTCCACACTACATATTCATTAAGCATATTTAAATCATGCTGTGCATTCTGACTGGAAAAGGGACAAAATTAGGAAACAAAGGAGGTGGTACTCACTGGTTCCAAAAATAAAAATAAATTGTGGACGGTGGTAAAACTACTCCAAAAGATCTCACTAAAAAATATTTGTAAAACGACTTTGTTCTTAATTGAGTTTAATTTTCACTTTATTTGTTCATTTATTCGGACCCACATCAGCTGTTACCGACAAAACCAACATCTTCTCTTCCTAAGGTCCTTAAATTACTTAAATAAATAATAAATAAATTCATATATAGTATTATTACATATGCCCATACACAATGCATGTAAATATTAAACAGGTAATACATTTGTTTTAAAGCATGTTATACATAAGTCTGACATTTCACATATTGTATGTAGTAAGAATGTAGTAGTATAGTAGTATGTAGTCTAGTATATCTTGTGTACAATTAGTATTCAGTATGATTTGGAACATAGTAATAACCATTCAAACAAGTTCAAACAAGCTCTGGATTAGCTCATCTTGGTAAGCCTGGAAACTACGAGCCTAATTAAGTCATGGAAGCCACGGTAATGACCAATAACATCACTGTCATTTATATTCTTCTATGTGTTGACAGGAACAGGCCTTTTTCACTGCAGACATGTTGACACTGCAGAAAAAAACACAGCTATAGGTAATTAACTCATTTACTATAATCTCATATGGGCTGTTCCCGTTCCAGGACTCTGGTATGACTTCCTCACTGACACTCCTAAATAAAACAAAATGATCATTAATGTTATTAGTTACATGTGTTCTTGTTAGGAAATAGCTATTCCTGCTATGAGAGTCAAAAGCACAGAGTTACACCATACTAAAATAAATTCTCAGAAGATTTTGAGTATGTAGAGTTTACATTGAAAAGCTGATCAAAAAAGTAAATTCCTATATCAGTGTGTACTATAAAACACTTAATATTAGACTGCCCAGGAAACAGAGGCTACAAAAACCATTAAAACAAACTGTGGATGGAGGCGAGACTGCTCGGGGAAGTTTTAATCTTTGGAAGAACTATTCACTTTCTCTTTTGTCTCCTACAAAAGCACCTTGCAACTTTTTCTTTGTGAACATTTCTACATAAATGACATTTATGATTATATTTTTATACAGAAAAGAGACATCACCAACAAATCAAAATATTCGAATACGTCAAAATTCAACAAACCTATTCAAACCTTTTTATTTGAAGTATGAAATAAAAATCCACTAAATTATTTAAATGTATTTGTTTGAATAAAGTAATTGAAAAATGAAGATAACAAACGTTCAGTTTTTACCCTTTACAGGTAAACCAATTCTCTTATAAAACTGTGTTTTATGTATTCTACTTGTTAAAAATAAAATAAAATCCGTATTAGTATTAAAAATGATGAGCTAATCCAATTGTGTCATGCACAATTCACTATTGTCAATGCATTAAGATTTAATTAATACTTCCCCAGGCCTGCTCAAAGACAATTACTCTTGACCTAAAGTGGCTGTAACTGGATCCATTCAATACTGGATTTATAATTACTTTATATTCTCTTAGCTTAAAAATAATTGGGTTAAGTTTAAAAAACAAGGACATTCCAAAGTCATAGTTTGATTGATGGAGTTTGATTGATGTCCATCTGCGGTTGAACTGCTTATTTCCTATTATTACAAAATCATTTCTTGTATACTAATTACAAAAACAGTTGGGGTTCCCACGCGTCCTGGAAAACCTGTATATCTAGAGAGTTGTTGTCCTAGAAAACTTTAATTGTATTGTAGCCCGTCACTCAGATTGCCAATGTAAACCTAGGTTAGAGGTAAACTGTATTAACTGCAGTTAAATCACCTGAGACGCTGCAGAAACATCGGCTGTGGTGAGAATAATGGAAAAATTAACATAAACACACTGACCAACCTACCTGTAATGAACCTGACACACTTCCCTGCACAGCATCATTAAACAAGGAAAAATAAAACTTGGAAAAATGGGACAGTAATGGGCCCACCGGTAAATTATATGACAGTTTATGACCAAGTGCTGTTCTGTATTGTCAAGAAAACTCCAGCAAAAGGTTCATTATGACATTAGAAACTGTTTACAACTTGTATGTAACGTGGCATTAGAACACATGTCTGCTGTGTCTACTTAAACCTCCTTAGTTGGTCACGTTTCCAGAAAACCAGCTGCACTCAAAAAAAGCGTGGGTTACCTCTACCATCAAGAAACTATAAAATAATAATTAAAACTCCAATCTGCTGGTCTCTTACATCAGCTATCAGCTCTACTCACATTGCACCTCCAGGCGGTTCGAGATCCTGCGTGGCTTCTCCAGGCCGGGATGCCACACCAAGCAGTCCAGCTTTTTCCCATTCATGCTGCGCAGGGGGTGCAGAGAGTAGAAGCTGGACACGGTCCCGCCCTCTTTGGTGCGGTTCTGGGACTGGCCTGGCAGGTCGGTGTCCCAGGAGAGGCGAGGAGGCGGGTGGCCCACGGCTCGACAGGAGGCGGCCACACGGAACGACTGGCCCTCCACCAACAGCACAGGCTCCAGGGAGGAGATGGGTAAGACTAATAGAAGAGGAGGAAGAAGTGAGTGAGTATAGGATTTCAAATGCTTCAGGGGATTAAAGACGAAGAAGACATCCCCCTTCACTCAAAAATTTGTTTTATTTATTGTTACTTCAATTAGATGTTTGCCCTTCCCTGTGCAGAATGATGTTATGTGCAGAGTTTGACATGTGAAGATGGTATTCAGTTTCTTTGTGCTCGCCTTAAATCTGAGTTTAACATGGGAACTAGTTTGGAAGCCAAATGCAGTCCAATATGAAACCTCCAGTGCACATACACTGAGTATGTCCACATATTATTATTCCAAGCATTTTTATATGCCATAAAACTTTAGAGTTCTGGCTTGACCTTTCACCTCACGATCAAAATGTCTTCCATAAGAAAGTAGTCTACAAAATGAATGTATACTGATTTCCATACTACACAGAAAAACAAGGACATTCCAAAGTCA